ACGTGTTGTGACATACCACGTAGGGTGGACCAATGACGTCAAGCCGCATGGCTAAAAATTTGCGAGCTGCCATTTTGTGAGTCACCATAGAACCCTGGATGTATTTTCTGTGGAAGCTTTTCAACTGCAGTGTCCCAGTTTAGACACTTTTTATGTGAGTGTACTCAATCTTTTAATAAATATTGGTTGTTATAATTGACACACTATGATGGGTGTTTTTTCTACATGCTCGGAGGATATGTTGGATAATAAATAGGAAGACTATTTCAACCCCTACCCAGGTTAAAAGGGAAAAGCACAATTGACCTAAATATATATAGGTCAAATCAAGGTGGTGAGAGTACATATGTATGTCGGTGGAGGAGAAACACAGAAGGGTTTGAGCAGCTTTTAGAAGAATTGATATAATTTGTCACATAAGGATTTTCTTTGTCATATAGGATCTCTATGTCACAAATTGTTTATGTATGCACTGTGATGTTATATGCACTTTATAAGAAGTTATATGGGTAATTGCACAGGCACTTTATTATGAAGATTGCATTTTTATGTCGTGCAGCACTTATTTATAAAGTAGGTAGAATCATTTATTGCATGGATGGAGTAGCACTAAAGCCAGAGTGTCATGCCATGTTCGGACACCAGGCAGCACAACGTCCTTGGTAGCTATGACAATGTCGGCTGCATTTCTTCAGTGATTGCTAAAACACATCCTCGGTCCCATTCAGCTGCCAGCTGGGAGATTTCTATCATTGACCAAATATACCCATTGTGAACTGGCAATTATTCTTTTATAATTTGCACATGTCAGAATTCCTATTGAAACTTTAGCATTTTTATGAATTAGGTACACACACTGTTTTATAGAGGCCACAACACCAGAAAAGTGTTGTAAATACTTTATTAAATTGCCCTCTACGAGTTATCAAAACAGAAAGTATGGCAAAACCAGTCTGCCTTCAGGCTCACTTTGAAACCTCAGACACAGCCATTCAATAAGGGGTCAGTCACTACTCTGACTCATTCATTTATTTGTGTATATTGTTAGTTGCACTATTGATTTCAGTAAACAATGGGGTATTTACAACAGAGAGGCTAAGGAGACTCTGGAAAACATGAGCCTAACGCTCCAGCTGCTGCTTCAAAAAGAGAGATATTTTTTTAAAAAATGTTTTAATACAAAACCACCACATTCCCTTTAAAAAGTGCTTCTTACAATATGCAGGTAAAGTGCATGATAAAGTGTGCTATTATCTGCTGCCCTTTATTCCTACAGAAAAAATAGGCCAGGGCTCATTTTAATTTGAGCTGCAAAGCATGGTGGTCTGAACAGCCTACATAGACACCACTCCAATTTTGATTGTTCCTGCGTTTACATGCAGTTAAAAAAACTTGTGTTACCTTTAGGCAGACACGGAGATGTGAATGGGCCATTAAACTGGGAGCCTCTTTTCTCCAGCTATGTTCTGATTTTATGTATTGTTACAGTGTGTTTCTGGTGTACTCCCTTTAATAAATTACTGCAAAATATGCTGTTGAGATATAAATAAAATATAATGTTGAAGATTATGATGATGAAATACTGGAATAGTAATAGCCCTAGGGGCCTGTCTAGTATCCAGGGGGATATAGTGTGGGATTCTTTTGGTGGCTTTCCTTTGAGCTCCCTCACTTTATGCCCCTTTATGGGCACTCCCCTAGTCCTATCCAGATTTTCCTTTGGGCTGCAGAATTTCTTTTTTCACCTTTGTGATAGTGCACTGATGGGGAGAGAGGAAATGGGTGGGGGTGCATACCAGCATTGGTGGAGCATGTGCCATCACTTGGTATTTGATGCTGTTTACCTACCTGACAGAGATCCCCATCAGGAAATGAGAAAACTGAGAGGAAGTGAGTGATGACGCCAAGTGGCTTGCTGGAAGCGTATGACGTAGGTGCCATGATGCTTGTAGGGCCGTCACGATTGGTTGCTAAATTGGCGGTGGGGGTGATTCATATATAATGGGGTTGTGGTAAGTCTTCCCTGTTCCCTTTGAAAGGAACCATTACTTATTTGTGCATTGGCCCATAATTTTGCCTATATGCGCCCATATATTATTCATTGCCTTTCTACTAGCTTGTTAAGGCCATGAGGTACTCATATCCCCATAGCTGGCCTGTTGGCCTCAATTGCCTTGTCTGCCCCTTTGTTCACAGCCAGTTATATAGCCTCTACTATTACATATATTAGCCACATGGGAGCTTATTATCCAAGATATATAGGACTTACATTGTCTTTCTCCCCCTTTCTTTCTCACCCATGCCCTACAAAAATTTTACATTTTATTTATGCAGATGCTTGCTATTTAATATATAGCTGTATTACTTTTAATTTTAAATCATGCAGACACTCCCTGCAATTAAGTTCCTTGTGGGCGGGTGGAGGCCTAGGTGTCCTGCTCATGTGTGTACATGGACCCTTCAGCTCAAATTGTTATTACATATAAAATTGGATGATAAGTAATAGGAAATTATTATTAATATGCAAGTGCATTATGTGGATACATATATACTGTACAGGATGCCAGGGATGTGTCCTGAACAGCAGGGATGTTTCCCCATTATTTGGGTTGTGGCACCTTTAAGGGAGATGGTTTGCAGTCATTGTTGAGTACTCAGGGGTTCTCAATTATGCAGGGTGAGGGGTTTCAGGGAAGTCTGGTTGATAAAAAAGGATTGATTTCAGTATTCTCTGGATTTCTAAACCCTTATTAGGGACCCGGAATTTTGGAGGTTTCAAGAATCTTGGGTGGGAAGAACCTCCAAATCCTGATTACAGGTACTTTGGTTCTGAAGGGGTTAAGAGAACATCTGAGTCCAGAAAAGTAAAAGGAAACAGTCAGCATCTGGCTGTGAGAGAGAGAGAGAGCTGAAAGCACTCGAGTGAGCTGAGCGAATAAAGCTTGGGATCGAACCACGGATGCTGAAATGTGTATACCTCCTCTATGGGACCCCTGAAGCAGATGGGATGCCCTCAAAGTCCAGTGTGGATCTGGTATAGTGGCAGTGAGGCAAAACCTTGTTATTCCATTATACCAGAGTTATGCACTATTTTGTGTCCATTTGCTGAAGTAAGCGGTTTTGATTTCTGGACTGTTTGCAAGTTTCAATAAAGACCGTCAATTTTACAAGTACCTGGCGATGATCCTGAGCTCCCATATCACAATAAACATAGGAAGACAATTTAGAAGATAATCTGTCTGATAATGTTTTTGAATGTTATTTGTCTGATGTACTTTATATGAGTTCTTTTATACACAGAACCTCACTTGAACCCCTGAAGAAGAGTTACTTCTCAAAAGATGTTGGGTTCTTTCCACATACACTATATTGCCAAAAGTATTGGGAAACCCCTCCAAATCATTGGATTCAGATGTTGCAATCACCTCCATGGCCACAAGTGTATACAATCAAGCACCTAGGCATGCAGACTGCTTCTACAATCATTTGTGAAAGAATGGGTCGCTCTCAGGAGCAAAATGAATTCAAGCATGGTACCGTGATAACCAACTGTGCAATAAGTCCATCTGGGAAATTTCCTTGCTACTAAATATTCCACGGTCAACTGTTAGTGGTATTATAACAAAGTGAAAGCAACTGGGAACAACAGAAAGTTAGCCATGAAGTGGTAGGCCATGTAAAATCACAGAGCGGGGTCAGCGCATGCTGAAGCGCAGTAAGCAGAAGTTGCCAACTGTCTGCAGAGTCAATAGCTAAAGACCTCCAAACTTCTTGTGGCCTTCAGATTAGCACATAAACAGTGCATAGAGAGCTTCATAGAATGCGTTTCCATGGCTGAGCAGCTGCATCCAAACCTTACATCACCAAGTGCAATGCAAAGCATCGGATGCAGTGGTGTAAAGCACGCCACCACTGGACTCTAGAGCATTAGAGACATGTTCTCTGGAGTGATGAATCACGCTTCTCTGGGTGGCATTCCGACGTACGTGTCTGGGTTTGGTGGTTACCGGGAGAACGATACTTGCCTGACTGCACTGTGCTAAGTGTAAAGTTTGGTGGAAGAGGGATTATGGTGTGGGGTTGATTTTTTAGGGGTTGGGCTTGGCCCCATAGTTCCAGTGAAGGGAACTCTTAAAGCATCAGCATACCAAGACATTTTGGACAATTTCATGCTCCCAACTTTGTGGGAACAGTTTGGGGATGGCCCCTTCCTGTTCCAACATGACTGCGCACCACTGCACAAAGCAAGGTCCATAAAGACACGGATGAGCGAGTTTGGGGTGGAGGAACTGGACTGACCGCAACCCGATAGAACACCTTTGGGAAGAATTAGAGCAGAGACTGCGAGCCAGACCTTCTCATCTGACATCAGTGTCTGACCTCACAAATGCGCTTCTGAAAGAATGGTCAAACATTCCCATAGACACACTCCTAAACCTTGTGGACAGCCTTGCTAGAAGAGTTGAAGCTGTTATAGCTGCAAAGGGTGTGACAACTCAATAGTGAGTCCTACGGAATAAGACTGGAATGCCATTAATGTTCATGTGCGTGTAAAGGCAGGTGTCCCAACACTTTTGGCAATATAGTGTAGTACTGGCTTTTGATGTACATACAAAATCACTTTGTGATAATATGTGGGTAATAGTGGGGTGCTTGATGGCAATGTGATTGAAACTTGTCTGTCTTCTTGTTTTTTATACCTTTTTTAATGAATTTGTTAACAATAAATCTCAGATGATTTTACAAAAATACACATTTTTATGTCATAATAATGTCTAAAAAGTCACATATTTTCTTAATTATTATGGTTTAATGGGATGTTGGCAATATGTAAATATACCCAATTATTCCAAATACATCTTCTGACATAAATAGCCATATTGTTTATTTTTAACAGAAATCTTATCTTACCTGTCTATGTAAATATACCCAATTATTCCAAATACATCTTCTGACATAAATAGCCATATTGTTTATTTTTAACAGAAATCTTATCTTACCTCTCGCACAAGGCAGTTGTGAGAATTCAAGTCCCGATGGATTATATTCATAGAATGGAGGTAGGTCTGAAAAGCAAAAAACATTTGCTCTTTAGGAGGAGACACAAATGGGTCCTGTAAAACAGGGATTTTGTACAGTATGTAAAGCTATGACTTACTACCAAATACACAAGAAGGATTCTGGAGAAATAAGTAATACACCTGCAATATATACTAAAGACTCACCATTCCAGCAGCTATATCTCTGGCAAAGCTAACCCTTTGATTCCAGGGATATTGAGCATCCTGCAGATATATATTTAAAAATAAAAGTTAACAAGTTCTTGTTCACAAATAATCAATATTTATGTGAATGTATGTCAGCTGAATGTCAATGATATACATTTAATGCCAAATAATGAAAACTGACACAGCTTTGGTCCTCACTTTATTCAAGACTAGAAAGATACGTTTTGGCTAAGCCCCAATCTTTGCGATCAATGAAAACATACATTTATTTATACCAGGTTTGGATTTCTGATTGTGACCCCATTGCGTAGATTTTCCTTATCTTCCTGTTACTGCAATACTTGTACAAAAATAGGGAGTGTAGTTGTTACTATGACAGAAAGGCAATGGTGGCAATAAAAGCATTGTTAGGAGTTCTATTCCTTTCCCCAAACTGCTAAAAATGTATTTTGGCTGTGTCTTTGTAGGAGAGATTTTCAAAAATTTCCTGTCCTGACAATAAGTGGGGGCTCATCTTCTCAGCTGGGACACAGACAAATAAAATCCTGCTGGACGCTCTATCCCTCTCCACTCTAGCAAAGAACAAACAAACTCTAGGCCCATTGGGATGTACTATGAAAGGCTGCTGTATATTTCTGTGTTTTAAAATTGCCTTCTGACATATGAATTATAGTCCATAGTGTACATTTCTCTATTGGCTTGTGTGCTTCAAGCAATGAATGAAAGTATAAAAACAATGCACAATGCCCACCATGCCCTTTATCACTCTTCGCAGGGTGCCTCCAGGGATGTATTCTGTTATGAAGTTCAATCTTTTGTCCTTATAAAGCACTCCGATAAATTTCAGCACGTTTGGGTGTTCCAGGCAGCGCATTACCTTCACCTGTCAAACAAATAAAAGTTACAAACACAGTTACCTAGATACCAATTTATGTGACTCATGGCAGAGAGATTTAGTGGTCTCCACTCTGTGCATCCAAAATGATTATTCTATTAAAATTATTGTATTATCTACTTGACTAGAATACATTAGGATGATTTACCAAGAAGAGAATGTTCACTTAGCAAAGTGAATAAAGTGGAACTGTTTTCAGGCAAGCATTACCCGCTTTACCGCTGCCCTATAGCAGAAATACTGCTACAGGGCAGAAGGTGCGCAAAATCATGTATATAAGTAATACCTCTGTTTACAAATGCCTCGTTTAACGTAATTTTCGGTTTACGAATGAAAATCCATTGAAAATAATGCCTCGGTTTACAAATGTTTTACGATTTGTTTTCGCAATACGAAGTGTATGTCAGTGTATGTCATTATTGTTATCTCACATATATATTCTTATTATTATAGCCAAATTTTGCACCCTAACTCCTCCTACAGTTTTTACACTACATAGACAGTAATATACCGAAACGTGCGGATTGTTCCCGATTGGTGTGCTATTACTTTGTGGAACGTTTCACCGAATGGTTCACGAAATATCGGCGTTTTTGTGGTGAAATTGGTCCCATAGGAATGAATGGCGGAATGTTCAAAACTAGAGTGGGAGCTGACAAAAGCTAGAGTGTGAGCTGAAAAATCAGGACATGATTTCTAAACTGCCATCACTCCCTCATTTTCAAGCCCACCTACACAAATCTTATATCAAAACGTTCAGCTATCTCTGCTGCCACTAAAAATGTCCATGGCTAAGCCATAGTCCTGATAGTTTGCACAATATGACCATTTGTTTGCAACTCATTGACATTCATTGAAACTCCACTCTAGCCACCTCAAATTTGAAGGGCAATTTCTAAACTGCGACTGTGCCTTCCTTTTTAATATTTCAGAGACATACTATGCATCAAAATTTAGGTCTTGGTCTTGTGATTCTCACAATATAAAGCTCTTCACTGTAGGATTTATAGTTTTTAAAAGAACAACCATTTGAAGATGCCAGTGAAATGAGCAATTTGGAGCAGTTTGTTTTTAACCGCTCTTCTCTGCCCTATTTGAAATCTAATTTTGAATTCGTGACAGTTTGGCCGGCTTCTGTTTAAAGGTTTGGAAATATGCTTTCTACAGTAGAGAGTATTTCAGGTGATAATGCTGCTAATGTTTTTATAAATGTATGTTTTAATGTAACTGTGAAGCACTTTGGCCAACAACATTGCAATTAAATGTGCTATATAAATAATTAAAAGTTGAAATGCATTTCTCACTCTATCAAGCTTGCCATGTGCACTTTTTAAATTTGATCAATCAATTGGTTAGTGTAATGTTTACTATCTTTACTCACTCCAAACACTCCACACAGTTACTCTGCCCACTCCATAAAGTTACTCTGCCCAGTCCAACCTTTTCCCAGTTACTCCAGCCACTCCAACCACACAACAGTTACTGAAGCCACTCCACCCAGTTACTCAGCCCACTCCAGTTGTAGACTACTGGTGGAGGCAAGAACACTTCATACAATTTCCCCAGAAATTGTAGCTTTTAAATGCAATTGCCTGTTTTTTTTCTTTGCTACAGCTCACATAGCTGTCACTTTCCCTGGAGTTAACAGAAACTTTGTTTCTTTTAAGAAACTAAAAGGAAACATTGTTTCTCTTAACTCAGGGAAATAAACTAAAAGAAACTTTCTTCCTTTTTAGCTGGGGGGGAAGTGACAGCTGAAATTCTGAGCTACAGTGAAGAAAAAAAAAGTGGTAATTACATTTAAAAACCGGCACCATAATAAAAAGCCCTTCGGGTCTTGTATGGATCTTGAGGGGAACTCCCATGCCAAAATTTAAAAAAAAAAGGGCCTGAAGGTCTCCCCCCCAAAATCCATACCAGACCCTTATCCGAGCACGCAGCCCGACAAACCAGAAAGAGGGAGGGGGGGCGAGCAAGCGTGAGCACCCCCCCAAACCATACCAGTCCACATGCCCTCAACATGGGGGGGTGCTTTGGGGCATGTTGATGGGGACAAGGGCCTCTTCCCCACAACGCTGGCTGGTGGTTGTCGGTGTGTGCGGGAAGGGGGCTTATTGGAATCTCGAAGCCCCCTTTAACAAGGTGGTTTGACAGTTCTTAAACATGTAAGGGGCGGGGCCACTCGGGGACATCATCCAAGTGACCCCACCCCATGTGACATCATTGATGTCACATGGGATGGGGTCACATGCGTGATGTCCCTGGGTGGCCCCACCCCTTACCTATTTAAGAACTGTCAAACCACCAGAGCAGGCAGAAGGCTGGAAACCATCGTCAGAAGCGGAGCATTTTTAAAAAAATTCTTTTAAAGGGTCCGGTACGGATTTTGGGGGGATCCCCACGCCATTTTTGTTTAAATTTTGGCGTGAGAGTTCTCCTCAAAATCCATACCAGACCCGAAGGGCTTGGTATGGATGGGAGGAGGGACCCCACGCCGTTTCTTTAATTATTTTTTTAATTGCCAGCAATTGTTTCACATTCAGCTGTCAGTGGGGAATCCTGCTGACAGCTGAAACACTAAGACATGGCTGTCACTACTAAAATACCGCATGACTTGGTAAAATAACTCATGTGCTATTTTAGTACCGTTAACTTTTTTCTGATCTCCGGAACGGATTAATTGGTTTTCAGTGTATTCCTATGGGAACAGTGTTTCGGTTTACGAATTTTTCGTTATACGAAAAGTTCTGCAGAACTAATTAAATTCGTAAACCGAGGTATTACCATATATGTGATTTTGCATTTCCGAGCAGGGGGGTGCATAAGCTGCGTGCGCGCCCTACCCACGCCACCATTTGCGGCCTTGGCTGTCAATCATGGGTCCCGGCCAGTAATTACTCGCCGGCACCCGGTGATCACCGAGTAATACCGACAAGGGAGAGAACTGTATGTAAACAATACAGTTCTTTCCCCTGTCAGCTTCAGCACACTGCTTTGTATGGCTCTGCATAGAGGAGCCATACACAGCAGTGTGCTTACAGTGGAAAGCACAGACAAAGCCCCACAGTAAAACACACACAACACACAGTTAACCCTTTTGACCTCCACAGATGTGAACCCCTTCCTGCTCAGTGCCATTAGTACAGTGTCAGTTTTATTAGCACTGATCACTGTATTGGTGTCACTGGGGATGTCAGTGACACCAAGTCAGTTCCCTCCAGTGTCAGAATGCCTGCCGCAGTCCCGCTATAAGTTGCTGATCGCCGCCATCACTAGTAAAAAAAAAAAATTCCAGTATATATACAGTCATTTGTAAACACTATAACTGTCTACATTTACACGTATTTGGATTTTGTTTTTAGCAAAGACATGCAGCAGAATACATTTTGGCCTAAATTTATAATGAAATTTGATTTTTACATTTTTTTATTCGATATGTTTAATAGCAAAAAATATTGTTTTTTTTCTAAAAAATTGTGTCTTTTTTTGTTTATAGCGCAAAAAATAAAACTGCACATGTGATTAAATACCACCAAAAGAAAGCTCTATTTTTGGGGAAAAAAAAGGGACATAAATTTCATTTGGGTGCAGTGTTGCATGACCGCGCAATTCTCAGTTAAAGTAACGCAGCACCGTAACACAAAATGCAGAGGTGAGGAATTAGAAACCCTGTCAGTTTTTATTGCTGTCTATGCCCCCTTTAACGAGATTCACCCTCTCAGTTTGTCCTGTTTACCTTTATTATTGAAATTGAAAGTAAAAGAAAATCCCAAATTTGGGGTTGTCCCCAGAAAAGTAATAGAGGGGAAATCTTCCAATGGGGACATTAGTTATGGTGACCTGAGGGTCCCCAAGCAATTCCCTTAATTTGTAGGGATTTTCGCTAACAATTTGGCTATGACAGGAAGTAACGAGAAATCTCCACGAGACACAGAAACAAAATCTGACAGGGGTTATAACCCTCCATTTTTCTATCCAAAAGGAAAAAAAGTTTTGCCTAAAGTTCTACTTTAACCATCTCCCGCCCGCTGTATAGGGAAATAATGGACGGGCGAGAGCTCTCTTGTTCTGGGAGGACGTCATATGACGTCCTCCCACTCTAGCTGTGCATGCACACCCCCGGGGGCATGTGGAGCGGCGATCAGGGGTGCGCTGTGTCCCTAAGACATAGCGGATCTCCGATCACGGTAAAGAGCTGATGACGTCTGCTCTACCATGTGATCTGCTGTGTCCAATCATAGCTGATCACATGTAAACAGGAAATGCTGTTTATCAGCAGTCCTCTCCTCATTCTGACAGCATGAGAGGAGAGGAGAGTTGGTAAGCAACATTCCTCAGAGGGAACATCTACACTGATAATCAGGGCACTGAATTTTGAGAGGTGTTTTAACACACTCATGCACCTCCCTGGTGCCACTACTGAATTAGAACTTGATCCAGAAAACCAGAGAGAGCCTGATTAACCACTTGCCCTCCAGTGGATTTACCCCCCCCTAATGACCAGGCCTCTTTTTGCTACTCGGCACTGCACTAATTCAACTGATAATTGCGTGGACATGCAATGCTGCACCCAAACATTTACGTCCTTTTGATGAAGTCACGAAGTGGGCGTGACGCAACTAGTCGGTACGTGGGGAGGAGCTTCCTGTAATCGTGGTGACGTCATTTCCGGCGTGGGGGCCATATTGGAACACCCTGTGTATTACCCATGCAGTACACCCATAGCATGTGGTAGGAGGCTGGAAGATTCATCGTTTTGTGAGTGGAAATCTACTTTTTATACCTATTACCAATAAAATTACTGGTTGCACTATGGAGGGTCTCTGCTTGTGTCTTACTATGACCCTGGGAGGAGCTGGCTGCTAAACTGGTGGACGCTGGAGGAGGAAGATATTTTCTAGAGAGTGATCCATACTGATAGGATCGTGTGATCCTGAAAGCGTGCTGGCCCCTTGGGGTCTAAGGAAGGAGGTGAGGGGGCATTTTGG